AAGTTCACAATACGGTTCATGCTCCTATGAGAATCTAATGCCATCGCTGATCTGACGGGAGGTGGAGCTCAGGCGGGGATTATCTCTCACCAGCTGCCCACCTTCTGCTGCGTAGCCCGGTCCCTTACAGGTTGTAGACTGGTACCGCTTGGTGGCCTGGGGGTTGCAGACCCCTGCCCTAAAGTAATCACTGATATGTGTTTATTATAACACACTTGATAGGGAACTCTGAACTTCTTCTCTGGTCTACGTAGACTTTGTTTCCATTCTTTCTTCTATAGTTGACGCACATCTTTAGACTTTATGATGAAAGGGTTTGGAAAGAATGATTCATCATTAGCTTCACTCCATAGCCTCATAAATTTCCTTCTCTTGACCTAACGAATCATCATCATTACTAATTATGCTCCAGAAAATAAACTGGAATGCAGTACAGGCTGGCTTCACGTAGAACACATCAGTGCATAAATCAGAGAGGCTGCTGTCAAAATGGCTTAAGTGGCTGAGCGTGGAAAATAGGAACTTTTTCCCATTCTGTTTTTACGTTCAGCTTGAATTGTAAGGCCTAGAACTTACTTGGATAGAGTTGGAAATTGAATAGGATAATCTAATTTTAAGGAAGCTTAACACAAATCAAGAGAACATTACTTGGAACATAAATTTATGAGTAAAATTGCCTAGTGGTTTTGTTGACAAATGATGGTGCGTAGGTCTCCGGGCAGGGCCAGGAAGAACACTTGCGTGCCTCCTCCTAGGCTGTTCCAAGTGGCAGCTCTTTGATAGCCAGGAAGTGCCTCTGGGCAGATCTGTGCCTCAGCGCAGAGCACTAGACTGAGTGGAGAGGAAGTGAAGAACAAGCACTGTCCTCCCTGAACCTTTCACTGTGTGGAAGTATGTGGATCCCCTGAGCTCGCTTGACCTTCAACCACAGCTCCATCATCCTTGCTTGGCCAGGGAGAAAGCAGCCTCAGAGAAGGTAAATGACTTTGGTCTGGTGTCACAGCTGGTTAGTGACAGAGCTAGGCTTAGAGCCCAAGGTTCTTTGAGTCCGAAATGTCGGTTCTTTCCACCCTGCTGAGCTGCTTCCCACATTGTTATGTAGAAGTTAAGGCAAATAGTATGGAAGGAAAGAAGGTTAATAAGTAAATCGGTGGTCACTGTTTTGATAGAATGTCGTGAAACATTTTTGTCCTCAACCTCATTTACAATTGAGGGTGGTTGTCCCGGGTGCAATTGTTAAGGAAAAGTCTCTCCAAATTCATTAAACTGCAGGAGTCTGTAAAATGTTATACCCTGCCTCATTTTATTGTTTCTACCCACCCATAGCTCAGCGTGATCAATCCTTCCCCTCAGGCACAGCCACATCTCCACATCTCCGTAGAGTCAATCATAATCCCACCTGATCTCTGCGCACTTTAACCTGGAGAGGGATAGAAAAGGATTCACCAACGAACCCTGTATTTTGTTTTAAGAAAAAAAAAATGTATTACCTTGGGTATAAAATTATAGAAGAATTTTATCCTACTCTCTTTGACTCTTTTTTTTTTTTTTTTTTTTTGTGAGATGGCATCTCACTCTGTCATTCAGGCTGGAGGGCAGTGGTGCGATGTTGCCTCACTGTGGTCTCCACCTCCCAGGTTTAAGCGATTCTCCTGCCTCAGCCTCCTGAGTAGCTGGGATTACAGATTTACACCACCACACCCAGCTAATTTTTTTTATTTTTAGTAAAGACAGCATCTCACTATGTTGGCCAGGCTGGTCTTGAACTCCTGGCCTCAAGTGATCTGCCTGCCTTGGCCCCCCAAAGTGCTGGGATTACAGGTGTGAGCTACTGTGCCTGACCTTCTCTTTGACTCTTTAATATCTTCCTGATTAACTTAAATACCTTCCCCAGCACCTCCAATGGAATATGGCCCGAACAGAACTCACTGTATTTCTCTTCGTGATCCCTATTTCTCATAATGACGCTACCTTCCTCTAAAGGCTTCATTTTTGGCTTCTTTCCCTGTACAACCTCATTGTAATACCCTGCAAGATCCTGCTGGAATTCTGTGAACCTCTTCACACATCTCATCATTCCGTGCTAATCATCACTATTCACTTCAGCTACACATTAACTCTGGCCTAATGTTGTGATAGCCTCCCAATAGGTCTTTCCAGTCTTCCCTTGAATGAATTATTCTGCTACTCTTAACCTTTCTGGTGTCTTCCCATTGCTCACTCCTGAATCCTTGGCCTGAACTGGGGGCTGCCCATGGTCCGCAGTCTGTGGCCCCTGCCTGACTAAGCTCATTTCTCCCCTCCCTGTGTGAGCTGCTATCCCTGGTTCTGGGGAGAGTGCTTGCAGGTTCTCTGAGAGTTTTATTTCTTTAAAAGGCATCTGTATCAGAGACTGTTAAGAGCTAAACCAATCAAACTCTTAGAGAAGACTTCTGTAAGTTACTCTAGTATTAGAAACCATCCTCTAGCCAGTGTCCCACGTAGAGTAGGAAATAATTCTATAATCACTCAACCCTCTTTCCTTTGCTCATGCTGATTCCATAACACCAAATCCCCTGATTTTATGTGTCTAATTCCATAATCCAGAGTTTTCACTAAACTCTCCCTGATTCCTTCGGCTCCCTTAGGGTACCTTGTATTTACGTTACAATTGTCTAAGTACTTAGCACTCCCATCTCTAGGCCAGGACTTTCTTATGGGCAATGACAAGATCTTAGTTACAAGGGACAAAAAGAAACATCATGCTTGACACATAGCAGATATTCAATGAAAATTTGAATGAATAAATGAATGAAAGAAGAAAATACATTCATGTGTTCCTTCTTACCTAAGTTTAAGTTGTTTTCAGGTAGCATCTGGGTCTGATTTATATCCTACAGTATTTAGCATTGTGCTTTGTGCATAATAGATATTCCATAAATATTTTTTGAATTAGTGGATAGCTATGTAGTTGATCCTGATATGAACTTTCTGAATGCTACATTACTGTATTTCACTTTCGGTAACTTAAGTGCTTTTAATGTAGCTAATATATTTTATTTTAAAGTATGTGGATCTTTTGATTGTTACTAGTTTTTAACAGTGGTTATTTTTGTCTTTGAACTGGTTTTTTTTTTTTTTCATTGTTGTTTTGTTTTGTTTGAGACAGGGTCTCACTCTGTCATCCAGGCTGGAGTACAGTGGTGCAAACATGGCTCATTGCAGCCTCAACCTTCCAGGCTCTGGTGGTCCTCCCACCTCAGCCTACTGGGTAGCTGGGACTAGAGGCGCGTGCCACCATGGCTGCCTAGTTTTTGTATTTTTTGTAGAGATAGGGTTTCACCATGTTGCCCAGGCTGGTCTGGAACTCCTGAGCTCAAATGATTCCCCTTCCTCAGCCTTCCAAAATGCTGGGATTGCAGGTGTGAGCCCCCACATCGGCCAGGTTGGCTTTTGCTGCATTCTTAATTTCGATTGTTAACACGTTATGTGTCATGGGTGGAGGTGCTTTCTTAATTTCACAAAGGAAATTAGAAAGAAAAAAGAAGAGTTAATTTTAAGAAAAATGTGAAGGAGCTTATCTATTTGTTATAGTTCCCATCTCTAGGTGTTGGTGGGGTTCTAGGACTAGCAATTTTTTCTGCAATAGTGATTGAGTAGTTCTTTCTAGAGTCATCATGACTCCATCCAGGGACACATAATTTGGATGCTTTCAATGGGAAACTGAGTCAGGCAGCCTTTATTGAAATGCCAGTGGAACATTAGAGGGCATTCCCAAACTTCAGTGAAGCTGAACTGAGTTTCTCTGCCTCCCCTCCATACCAGGATGCTAACAGTTTTGTTTGTTTGTTTTTGTTTTTGTTTGTTTGTTGTTGTTTTTTTTTACAATGAGGAATGCTTGCCAGTCTTCCCTGACAACCTTTAACTATAGAATATTTTATTTCAATTAGTGAATTAATGTTTCAGTCATCTCTCTATCTGAGGGCTTTGGTTCCAGGACCCCCATGTATACCAAAGCCTGCAAATACTCAAGGCTCACAGTTGGTACTATAAAACCCAAGAATATGAAAAGATGGCCCTTGGTATACAGGGACTTTGCATCCTGAGAATGCTGTATTTTAGATGTCATTTGGTCGCAGATGCAGAACCCACTCATAGAAAGGGCTGACTGTGTCTATTCAAAAAATTCATACTTAAATGGATCCATGTGGTTCAAACCTGTGTTGTTCAAGGGTCAATTATACTTGCTTTTAGTCATACTACTTGGTACACGCCTAAGTAGTAATGAAACAAAAAGAACTGACTGGAAAATGTCAGTGATGTCTTTGTGATGAGCGTGCCTTTGTGATCCACACTGCCTTAAGGTTCACTGCTGCTTTTGGTTTTGTTGCTGTTTGGGGTTTTTTGTTTTGTTCTCTTCAAATGGTGTCGTGGGAAAGATGAAAGATGCCTTCACGTGCTTCTTCTGTAGTGTCACTTTAATTCTCTGTGAAGAGGAACATTCCTAACCCATATATGTGAACTGAGCAAGCTAGTTATACCTAGGTTTGTGAAGTTGCCTAAATCTTGCAATTAAGACTTACAAGTGGGTAAATAGAGTCAGGAAAAAAGGTCAGAGGATCTAAGGAGAGGAGTTTACTTCTAGGAAATGCTATGAACTTATTGGAAGCAGGAGAGTTTCTCCAGTATATTTTAGAAGGATGACCCAGAGTTTGCTGAAATGTACAAAACAGAAACAAAATACTCTCTCTTTATGAAATGCAGAGGCATCATCTACACCTGTTGGAGGTGTTCATTTTTTTAGAAATGAACGAAGTATTTGCCATGACATACTCTCGGAGATAACTTTCATTTACCTTTCACTGGGCGTTATGGGAATCCTGTAGTCTCAAGAGTGGTACATTTTTAGACTTTTGGCCCAGTGTCAAGTCTTTTGAGCAATGGTATAAATCCATTAGATATGTTGACATCTCAACTTCTTTGAAATGATTAAGATTGTTTGCATTGTTTGTCTCTCTCAGAAATGAACACACCTGTGAGTACTGGATGCCTGTGAGCTCGCCATCACCCGCACTGCAAAGACACAGGGCGGCAGCCTCTGAGAAGCAGCTCCTTCCCCTTCACCTTGGCCTTGCCCTTCCTACTCACAGTCCACCATGGAGACGCTGTCCCAGGACTCTCTGCTGGAATGTCAGATCTGTTTCAATTACTACAGCCCCCGGCGCAGGCCCAAGTTGCTGGACTGCAAGCACACCTGCTGTTCAGTGTGCCTCCAGCAGATGAGGACCAGCCAGAAGGATGTGCGGTGCCCCTGGTGCCGCGGTGTCACCAAGCTGCCCCCCGGCTTCTCCGTGTCACAGCTCCCCGATGACCCGGAGGTCCTGGCTGTCATCGCCATTCCACACACTTCTGAACACACCCCGGTCTTCATCAAACTTCCCAGCAATGGGTGCTACATGCTGCCCCTGCCCATCTCCAAGGAGCGTGCGCTGCTGCCCGGAGACATGGGCTGCCGCCTGCTGCCCGGGAGCCAGCAGAAGTCCGTCACCGTGGTGACCATCCCTGCTGAACAGCAGCCTCTGCAAGGTGGGGCTCCCCAGGAGGCAGCGGAGGAGGAGCAGGACAGGCGGGGCGTGGTGAAAAGCTCCACCTGGTCGGGGGTGTGCACTGTCATCTTGGTGGCTTGCGTCCTGGTCTTCCTCCTCGGCATCGTGCTCCACAACATGTCTTGCATTTCTAAGCGCTTCACTGTGATATCCTGTGGCTGAACAGGGCTACAGGGAAGTCTCTTGTGGGTGCCAACTTAGGGGTTGAGCAGGTTGATGATGAGATCCCGGTGAGAAGATGGGGGGCGACACTGACCATTTGGTGCTGAGCGCTGGCCTCTGCATTGCCTCTTGATTACCCCAAAACAGACACAAAGGGCAGAAGGTGAGGTCTCAACAAGATACCAAGCGAATTGTTCTGAGTGTTGATGGCAACAGCTTGGAAGATGATTGCATGCATCCTCATAATCATGTATTCAATGGACTGTAATTTATGATTTTTCAAAATCATGTTACAAGATAGACATATTCTACTTAGACGTGAAACTGTACAAGTGCGTACAATGTGACTTTCTCTAAATGTGGTAGATTCAAACAAAGATGCTATGTAGACAAGTAGAATTAAACCTGCGAATCCGTGTAAAAATTCAGTGAAGACATGCACTGCTGACTTCTTTACTTTTTTTTTTTTCTTTTTATTGAAACCCAGTCTTCATTTAGTTGCTAAGGCTTTTACACATTTTGAATGGCACCAAAACAAAATAAGTCAAAACGGACAGTCCTTTTTTTTTTGGAGAAAATATTTGAACAAGTGTCTCCAATGTGTTGTGTTTTGTCATGAACCTTCATTTTCTTCACTTGTAATTAGAACTTGCTACGTGTTTATGAAACTGAAAGCTCAACAGGGGAGCAATAAACCGAGAAATCATGAGAAATGTCTAATCCCACAGGAAACCTGTATGCCGATTTTTCTCAAGCCATCTCACAAACAAGAATTTCAAATGTAAATACTGTGTATTTGTGTGTGTATGTATGTGTGTCTAATTTGATTTACCTCAGGTGTTTGAGTCTTTGCTGAAGAATCCTGGATTAAGACTTAATTGGGCATGAGTGAGTCCAGCCTCTGAAGCGGTGGCCACTTCATGGACATCTTGACCCAGCAGGGAGTCTCCTGCCCGTCACCTGCAACACTCACCCCTCATCTGTGTATTGAAGTCCTGCCTTTTGTAAGAGGCAAATGGAGAGTAACAGAAGAGTGTCTTTTCTTCTGGTTTTGGAGTCTCGTGCTGGCCATGAGTGTTGTGATTGACGGCCAACCCGGGAGGGCATTTTAATAGATGGTCTGTGATTCTTTTTTGAAAGATGCTCTTCCACAAGAGTTAAGCCAGTTAGAATTCCAGTTTCCTCTTGTTGATATGAGAGAGAAGATCTTCTGCATTTTAACAGTTTTTACTGAGAAAAGTGGCAAGGTAAACTCACAGCTGAAATTCCCAATATAAGTGGACCAGTTCCTCATAAACTGTCAAATATTCTTAAATGTGTAATGATCTATAGATGCTCATGAAGAAAGATCTGCCAGAAGTGAGTGATAAATTCCTATCCCTGGGTGCATGTGCATTCAGAAATAGCTGTGAGCTTTACAGTTCTCATCTAACTTCTTTTAAGGAATTCATGAAGCAAGTGGTATGTGACAAGGACTCCACTTAAAAATATAACTGTTTTTATGTTCCACTGAATCCCTGAAAATGGTGAGGAGGGTGGGGGGAAGTGAAGGAAAGACAAGCAGGGCTGATTCCAGAAAGCAAGGCTAGAAAATAGCCCTGTGAGGTCAAGACAATTTAATTTATTTACATGCTACCTGTTATTTTCCAGCAGCACAAAATATGCATATAAAAGTGATGGAATTAATGTGAAATAAAACAAAAATATAGTGATTACAATACAAAGCTAACACCGCTAATTGGCATGAGAATTTCAACATAAAATTATGAGCTATGATTTTTCAAATTTGTCATAAAACCTTTAGGAAATATATTTGAAAGCTCAAAATAGAAATTAGGTTAGAATGCCATTTTATTGTGTAAGCTCTTGGGCATTATACAACAAATAATCTAGGATTTATTTGGTATTAATAATTTAGGTATCATATTAGCTGAATACTATCCTCTATTATATAACATAATATACTGTTGGGTTAGTGTCAATTTCTCAAACTCTCCCAGGCTGCTCTAATGCATGTCTGACCTAATTTCTATTTCTCTTGGAGGAAAATACACACACACACACACAAACACACACACACACACAAATACACACCACAGAAATGTTGCATTGAGAATGCTACATTTCAAATAGACTTTACCCTTGCAATTTTAAGCTATGCCATATTCAGATTAATTTTGTGAGTGATATCTGCATATGTTTCTGTACAGTATGAAATGACTGATTCTGTAGTGTAGTACGTGATAGAGTTCTACTTGTTAAAGTAGGTTAGATATAGACACTAATGTGTGTAATGATAGTGTCCTGTGTTTCTTAGTGCAAATCTGTAAAAATGTCCATAGAACTTTTACTTAAAAACAATCCTGTGCTAGAGCTGCCATTAAGCGTGCAAAATTAATCCGCTGTATGGTAGATTCTTGACCTTAAATTTAACAATAACAACCCAAATCAGATTATTAATTTTTTTTTTTTTTGCGAGTCTTACTGACCTAAGAAACATTGTTTAAATTGTTTAAATGGATTCTACCTGCAGTTATTTGTGTACCTGTTTGTTGGGGTGTGCATTCTTGTGTGTGTGTGTGTGCGTGTGTGTGTGTGTGTGTGTGAGACACAGAGAGAGAGAGAGAATCTCAGTCTGCCAGATAGAATTTTATAGGCTTAGTGATGTTTTAATGTTGCTTGGCATCCCATTGCTCTGGCCTCTTCTGGAATTTACCAATGACCCTTACCAAACACATCTACCCATGTGACCAAAGTCCACTGACACAAGAGGCCAGAATTCATACTTGCACATTAATGAAAAGTCACAACTGGAAAGCACAGAAAGTTAGAGCTGAAAGCAGCCTCCGGTGGCTTCATTTTGTAGATTAGTCCATTTTGTAATTCTGCAGACAAGGGGGGATATGAACTTTGCACTGCAGTGTCTTCTTGTTCCATCCTAGGTCTGTCCACATCTCTATCTGGCTATGATCCTTTCTAGGGTTGATGAATACCCTTTATTGAGTCAACTACTATTTTAAAGGATTTTTTTTGTAGGTTTATGTACTCATTTTAGTTAGCATCTACCTCTCTGGGAAAATGAAAGGAGGGTTGACTTAGGGATGAGTATAGATGTTGAAAGACAACTATCAAACCATGTGGTTTGAGTTTTTAAAATTGTAAAACATTGGTGTCCAAACCTCCCACCCCACTTGTATGTAAAGGACAGTGAGTGTTGTGTAAATAGTAAACTATAAGAAGCATGAGTTTTCATCTTTATTAATGATCTTGAAATAAGTAAGAGAATGCTTAATATGTTAAGTAGAGCCAAGAATGCTACTAAGAAGCATTGTCTTTGGAAAAATTTTGTATAATGACTTGGGGCATAAGTTGTGATGAAAAGGCAACTCGGTTTTCGGTTCCAGTCATACTTAGTGATCAGAAAGCTCTAAGATATTTTCTTTAAAAATAGAATTAAGTTTAATTTTTCGCATGGCTTACAGATTGGGTCCCTTGAAGGTTAAACCATGTGATGGTATAACCCGTGAGATCTTCTAGATGGGCTCTGTTCAATAGGGCTTTCTGTGATGATGGAAATGCTCGAAAACCTGTGCCATCTGGTATAGTAGCCACCAGACTTTTAGGCAGTTAAAATGGGGTTACTACAAGGTAAGAACTGGTTTTCAAATTTTATTTAATTTTAATTAGCTGAAATATAAATAGCCGTATGTGTCTAGTGGTTGCCATATTGAACAATGCAGTTCTGGGTGATTGTGCTTGGAGATCTAGCATCAAGGTATTAATGGCGTAACGGTGAGGCTAAGAAAAGAGTGTGTGGGCTAGGAACATGCAGGTAGAAAAAGGCAAAAAATTCCTTTCTGGGCTTAAAAGTGTATGATCTCAAGTATGACAGTAAAAATTCATTGTTGCCCTTTGGAACTGTTGCTTATAGACTTTAGACCAAGGAATGATCAGTGAAGCTTAAAGAGCGCTTTATTAAGCCGCTTTTCTGGGATCATTAGTTGCATGTGAACCTGTTGTCCAAAAATAGTAGTTAGACAGTAGCTGTAAAACGTTTGACTTGCAAGCTATGCATGACCCGTACTGTGAAATTGGGTCTTGTGGCCAAAAAATAAATGTTACAGGGGAAAAAAAAAAAGCCTAATGAAATCCCTGTTCACTTCCAATATCTTATCCAAACTTCATTGCTGTATTAGTAAGGTGCAAATGTAAGAGCAAGCATGCTTTGCAGTGTTCAGACTGGTTTTGTTTGCCCTTGAAGGCCAGCTTGTCATTGTATTTGGTGTGGGCATATGTGGGCATCATTTTTCAGATGCCAGACTAAAATGTAGGTACTATTTTTAGAATGAGATTTGACATTGTTTTAGTCACTTTCTTTTTTAAGCAAAAATTTCAGTTATCACTGAGAGTTGAAGATTTGAAGCTTTGCACAAAAGCACTTCTTTTAACAGTAAAAAGTATTGTCCATGAAATTTAAAGACTTGAAGGTTACTAAAGCTACAAGAATTACTTTTTAGCTAAATAAAAGGAAGCAGAAAATTCAGTTTCAGATATATTTTCCCATAAAGACCCGATTCTTACTGATAATCTGGTATTTATTCCAGTCTAGATTTTGATTTGAAGAGTTCCCATCCCTTTATTTGAAAACTTACGTTGTTTCAAAATCGGTTAGTCTACTTTTCATTGTTTTCCAAATGGAATATATACAAAATGCATTTACTTCATTTTAGCAGAAATGGGTTGTTTTGTTTTTTGGGGTTTTCTTCTAGAACTCATCAATGGGCAAGACTTTCCTTCTTAGCTTGCCTTTAAAAGTCATTTATTTTATTTTATTTTTTGCCAAGATAGTAATCTTTCTTTAGCCTTAAGAGGAAGATCGAAGTTCAAAAGTTATCAGTGCAAGAGGAGTGATACACAAAAGACTTCAATTTCTATCTTTTCTCAGAAAAATAATGCTGCCCACCAATCAGCATTTTGTTTCCACATAAGAAGTGTCAGGTAGTCAGTCTGTCATCCCTGACCTAGATAGAGAAGCTGTTGCTTGACATTTCCATCATTCTCAGTAAATTGTCACCCACAAGGTAATTCTTACCAAAACAGAAACTACTGAGAAGAATAAGGTAGTCAAGATAATTCAGTAGCTGTTTTGAAAGTAGTAGTCTATTTCAAAAGCAATGATGTTCAGTTGCCGAATTTTGTTCAACATGAGACACTTATTTATATATTTATTTATTTATTTATGAGATGGAGTTTCACTCTTGTTGCCCAGGCCAGAGTGCAATGGCATGATCTCAGCTCACTGTAACCTCCACCTCCCAGGTTCAAGCTATTCTCCTGCCTCAGCCTCCCGAGTAGCTGGGATTACAGGCATGCGCCACCATGCCCAGCTAATTTTGTATTATTTTAAGTAGAGATGGGGTTTCTCCATGTTGGTCAGGCTGGTCTCCAACTTCTGACCTCTGGTAATCTGCCCGCCTCGGCCTCCCAAAGTTCTGGGATTACAGGCGTGAGTCACCGCACCCAGCCGACATGAAACACTTCTAAAAGATAAGTGGAAATTCAAGCCATTGATTTTTCTGACACAACTGACTTACTACACACACACACACACACACACAGAGACACACACACACACCATGATTTAGCTGTAATTGGAGTTAAAAATCAAGTAAAACCTGTTATTAGTCATGTTTTGCAATTTGTGAGTTATACAATATTGGATTAGATGTTAATTTCTTAACTATTGCTATGGGCTGCATACATTACGTCAAACTAACTACCTTTGGGAGTGTCCATATAAACACTTGAAACTTTTCAAATATATGAAGAGGTAGGTTCTACTGTATACATTTTATTGGAAAGCCGTTGATCATTAAAGAACATAAGCAGGTGGGGCATTTAATTTCTTCCAAATACCTTATTTTTGGATCTGCTCAAGTGGTTAGGGCAAGTGCACCATTATTCCTGAACCCCTGCAATTTGGGTTCCCATTTTTCTGCACAAATTTTCTTGCTCAGTCGAGCCAATGACTTTTTTTTTTTTTTCAGAATTCACTGCCTGGGGTATCCCACTATATATATATCTCACCTATGATGTAGTGGTGCTTGAAACACTCATCTCGTAAGCTAGCTTTTATTATTCTAATCTAAGGTTTTTTATATTATTCATACTATGAGATTTTTAGGGACAATCAGTAATATTTGGGGCAGAGTACTGAGGGACCTCTTGAAGTCTGCAACAGCATGCATTTTCTTTGTTTTTTCTGGGAGTGCTTCCCTGTAGTTGTCTTTGTTCTAGAACACCGCTCTAAATTTATTGCCATGGGATGTAGGGCTAGTAGCCCATGTGAAAGTCTTCTGTAATATCCTTGGGATGTGAGTTATTGGGTTATTCTAACAGGAGTTTTCCAAAGGGATGGTCCATTTTTAATTCAACATTTGCTTTTTGAAGATCCAGAATAGACAGTTGGATATAATAGTGGTGGAAGAGCATGGGTTGTAAACAGAAGGAAACGGAGATGACAAATGCCTCTTAAAGGGGATCTAGTTGATACCTCTGTTAAACAGTGGCAGAACACAGTAGCCGGTACCTTACACTGTGCTTTAGGAAAATTCTATGAAGATTTCATTACAAATCCTCATAGGATTTTCTGGGTTGAGGGACAACCCAACTATTAAGTAGAGGGAGAGGGAGAGGGAAAAGGAGAGGCAGAGGGAGAGGGAGTGGGAGAGAGAGAGGAGAGGTGAAGCATTGGATCTATGTCAAGGGACAGGCAGATATACCCAGAGAGGGAAAAAATAATAAAGGAAGAGTATAGCTGCAAAACAAGACATACAGGAGCTGAAGCAGACATGGCAGAAACCAGCTGGAGAAAGCACAGGACAACTAGGACAATTTAGTTAAGCACAATCTGTCATTCCAGTATGGACTACCAAGTTCAATTCAGGATGCTTCAGTTGAAGACACGTGGGGTAATGTGCTCAGCTGACGAGGGTCCAAGGAGGCCCCATTTTCCCTGTCACCCTATCCTATGCTCGTGCTTTGGATCGTTAGCACACTAGGCAATTTCAGAGCCCGCTCTAGAGTTGGTTGCCACATCAGTACAGACAGACTCTAGAATCCTCTTAACCATGGAATGCAAGGCCTATTCCTGTGGATCTATCCTGACTTGATTATGTCAGTACTGTTGGGAAAATGAGTTCAAGAATATTTCAGTTTATATATCCTGGTCGCTGTCATATATTTTTTCATTTCACCACTTGTTTGTGTTTGCCTCACTCAACAGTCATAGGTGTGGAAGCTGGTTTCAGCTTGGGACTGTTACAAACTCCCAACACAAGCCATGTAGCTGCAGCCCAGGGTTTCTCCCACCCTACAGCTTCAGCAGTGGGTTCCCTGGCCCTCTTGATAACAAATATTCCAGTCTAATGGCTAGATTAATGCTGCTCAGAGGCTATTAACTCAAATCCTTGATGTGTTTCATTTACAATTATGTAGATTATTTATTTTAGGAGCTTTTTTTTTTAAGGGCCAAATAGCCCGACAGATAAATGAGCTGCTGGGCTGTGTAGAAAATACTGTCCAAATGTTGCCAAATATTGACTTCGTAAAGGGGATATCAAGCTGCTGTTTATAAATCTGAATGTCTTAAAAGCATTCTTGCTTGCTCTCTCTGTTATAGATGGTGTCTTAGCCAGTCCTGAGTTTTCCAATGAACCCAATTTTAATATATGGTATTTTTGTATGCCGAACTGGTGTCTTGTCCTTTGTATATGTGGTAATGTTGATTTTATGACTACTGTAAAAACACATTTGCTATGATTAAAATTCATAAAATGATTTCAAATAGACTCACGTATTGTTTTTTTCCCCCCTCATAACCCCAGGAAAAGAAAAAAAATTGGTGAGATTTTCATCATCAGTTATTCTAAGGATTTTAGTAGACTTGGGTAATAAAGCAGTAAGAAGATCCTGAGCCAAGGATTTCAAATGGAGGTGACTTTCAAGTAGATCCTCTGAGAGGCCAAAGAACACATCTTTAATGAGTAAGCCCAAGCTTGTCTTTGCAACTTGGGTTTTCATGGCTTCTGGTGGCCCTTCCTTTATCCTCCACTGTTTAGAAATTGTGCTGCATGCCCCAGGCCCCAGAACCCTCTTGTTGCACCGTATACAGAACAACTTCATGCAGCCCCTGTGTAGTCAGGTAGAGTGACTTGGCCTCTTGGCCCTGAGTCTGGAAAGGTGTTCTTCAATTAATGTTCTCATCAATAGGGTGTTTTGGAGAGCCTTTTTTGACAAAAAGCATCCTGTCTTTCAATAACTGGATCATATCAATGAATTTCAATTTAGTTTAACAGGTAGCCTACTCCTAATTAAGGGCTATCAATGACCTGGTATGCTTGGGTGCAGGTGTAAGCATGCTCTGGCTTTCTGGGAAATTATAAAGTAATCCCCATAGTTTTAAAAGTGAGATGTGGCCAGGCACAGTGTCTCATGCCTGTAATCCCAGCTTTTTGGGAGGCCAAGGCTGGAGGATAACTTGAGGCCAAGAGTTTGAGACCAGCCTGGGCAGCATAGTGGGACCTCTGTCTCTACAAAAATTAATGAGGAAATTAGCCAGGCATGGTGGTGCATACCTGTAGTCCTAGTTTACTCATGAGGCTGAGCCTAGAAGTCACTTGAGCCTAGGAGTTTGAGGCTACAGTGAGCCTGATTGTGCCACTGTACTCCGGCCTGGGTGACAGAGTGAGACCTTCTCTCCTAAATAAATAAATAAGAGACATTACTGTGATTCAATACCCACTTCTTATACCAAAAATGCAAGGAGTATTGTATTGTCTGTATTCTTAAATGTGCAAAATTTATTTCTGATCTGTGGATTTCCCTGGTTTCAAGTAGCATGGGGCAGAGGTGGGTGGGTGAGTAGGAATTTCTTTGCTAGAGTTGGTTACTCATTCTCAAAGCTCTCTATCAGCTACAGAAGAACTTGATTAGAGGAAGGCAGAGAGGCATTTAAGGAAGGCATTTAGATGCCCTGGCTTCTCCAGGTCTTAGCTCCTTCATGCCGGGAGCCAATGGTATCTACACTCTTACGTTATCAAGACTCACCTGTAGACTTGATGGGGACAGAGCAAAGGAGAGGGGGTCTTGGGAAAGCTCTATAGGTGCATCTTGCCTGGGAATAGACACATTGGCAACCTCTTCAGATAACACTATTGGTGGTGGCACAGGTTTTCTGCCACTGGATGTGGGCCTGGAAGGAGAGGATGAGGCCATGCTAGCTCCAGGATCCCTGCAGAGGAAGAATGCGTGTGAGTAGCTGAAGATTAGGCAGAGGGATATGAAGGTGCAGAGAGAGAGGGTAACCAGGTCTGGCATTCACTGCATGCCATCCTCACCCTCAGGCCTCCCACACACACAACCCTCCAACACTCCACCTAATTTCCTGAAATGAAAGCCCATCTACCTGCCAATACACTATTTTTCTTAATGCTTTTGTTTTCAGAGATAATTCTTGGAAGAGAAACCCATTTTCAGTGTACACAATATAGCACTAGGCTGTGTAAATGGCAGGGGAGGAGTGGAAGGGTTTCTAGAATCAAGACTGAATCTCTGCTTTTCTTTTTATAGATTTGAAAACTTTTGCACAATTTTACTTAACCCATATAATGACACAGCTATAATTCGATTCAGTCTCTCTCACTCCCCAAAACTGCTCCTTGAATCCCCTCTTTATTGTGTTGGCACATGCGTATTTGTTTTTATTATTTGCAATAGTAAGTGAATGTATAGACATGTACGTGTGCATGTGTGTGTATACGCATGCATATGTGAACATTTCATGGACTCTTGGCGTAGATTTTTTTCAAGGTTAAGAGGGTGAAGATCTTTAAAGAGGGATCAGAAAAACACTCTGATTTGGGATTACTTCTTTTATTTTTTTAGATCGAGTTTCACTCTTGTTGTCCAGGCTGGAGTGCAATGGTGCAATCTCAGCTGACTGCAAGCTCCGCCTCCTGGGTTCAAGTGATTCTCCTGACTCAGCCTCCCAGTAGCTGGGATTACAGGCATGTGCCGCCACACCTGGCTAATTTTGTATTTTTTAGTAGTGACAGGGTTTCTCCATGTTGGTCAGGCTGTTCTCAAACTCCCGACGTCAGGTGATTCACCTGCCTGGGCCTCTCAAAGTGCTGGGATTGCAGGCATGAGCCACTGCGCCAGTCCAGGAAAGGATTATTTCTATGAAATAATGAGGAAAATTAGGGAGAAGGAAAGCCCCTTCAACCTTTTGTTACTTCATGCAGAGTTTCCATGATGGGCGGGGACGATGGCTGCTGAGATGAGCAAGGTGGGAACAGCCCCTGACCACGTAGGGGAGAAAGAGAAACTTCTTTTCTCACCCATCACAAGGTTTATGACTGACACCCATCAATAAGATAAATGCATAACACATTTATTTAATATAAACTTTATGTGACATGGGAGCCTTCAGAAAAAGGACCCAAAGACTCAGAAGAAATTATTTTTATGGACGCTCATGCAGAAGTATAATTGGAGGACAAAAGGGTCTAAACTAATGGTGATAAACTGGGGTTGGGGGAACTTAGTAGGACCCGTTTGTTCAGATTCCTCCTGGAATCCCTGCATGCCATTTCTTTTCTCTGGTTATAGGGTGACGTATCTGTCATATGGGGATCTTCAGGGGAGAAAGGAGGAAGAAGATCAGAGAGTGAGCTTCCTAGATTTTAAGGTCTGCTTCAGAGAAGAAGGGGCAGGTGGCATTCTAGTTTCTATGGCCCAGTTCGAGAGAAAGAGGGTGGAGAAGGTCAGAGAGACCTTCCTGCTTTCGAAGTTTTCTCAATTTCCTTCGGCTTAAAATACTCAGTATGCCAAGGTGCCATACACTGGGGTATCACGTTCTGAACCCTGACTTCATGTGAACCTTAGAGTCTTGTAGGAAAGACAGGCAATGATAATAAACAATGTCCAGGTCCAGTGCAGAGGTGTAGGGGATTTGAATGCATGTAAGAAGGAAGACAGATGGAAGCCTTGCCTGGTGGGATTGCCTGATGGGTTTGGGGTAGGAGCAGAGTCAGAAAAGGCGTTCTGGAAAAAGTGGCTTCTAGGATAAGAGCTAAGGGATGAACTGGGATCAGTGAGGAACATTTCTGGAAACACACTCAAGAAGGCATCACAAGAGAAAAAGGAGGCATAGGGCATGGAGACTTCTCTCTGGGGTAAGTTGGCTTCTCTTGTCAGCCTCCCTGCAATTTGTACATTGTCTTGTGCCAATTATACTGCAATTGATGATGTTTCAGTATGACATCCCAGTCCCCAAGAATATCCATTGCGATGGTCTGTATGTTGTGTCCCCCTCCAAATTCATTTGTGGAAATGCTAAACCCCAAGATAATATTACTAGAAGGTGAGGCCTTTGGTGAGGTGATCAGGTCATGAGGGTGAGGCTGTCATGAATGGGACTGAGGACCTTATAAAAGGGACTCAAGGGAGCTGCTTTGCCCCTTCCACCATGCGAGGCTGGAAGTCACCATCTATGAACCAGGAAACGGGCCCTCACCAGACACCACATCTCTCAGCACCTTGATCTTGGACTTCTCAGCTGCCAGAACTATGAGAAATGAGTTTTTGCTTATAAGTCACCCAGTTTGTAGTATTTTGTTATAGCAGCGCAAACAGACTAAGATACCCATAGAAGAGCATTTTACAAAAGCACACAACTATAGGGTTGATTTTATAGGTAGATACTTTTTCATAAGACATAATTACATGTGAAACTGGCTCTGCAATGGACATTTGCTTCATCATGTTCATATAACATGTAATTATTTTCTTCTGCCTATGCTCTGTGCAGAAGAAAAGAATGCACAGAATCTTTTATTCCAATAGTTGTGCCACTAGTTTCTGAATCAAACAGATTCAGACTCCAATATTGCTGACACGGGCTGCAAATAAACCTGTCTAAGGTACAGTCTTGAAAAGGGCATTTTCCAAGCTGTGTTTTGAGATATTATTAATAGTAGGTATTTTATGAAAAATATTTTGTGATTAAATAAGCTGGGAAAACACTGGGTTAAACAGTTTTTTTTTTAAATTGCATAACTTTTCAGAGCCTTTAATATGTACATTAGTCAGGGTTCTCTAGAGAAACAGAACCAACTGTGTGTGTGTTGGGGGTGGGGGTGGGGAAGGGGAGAGAGATATTTTAAGGAACTGGCTCACATGATTGTGGATTGTGGCAAGTCTAAAATCTGCAGGGTAGGTCATCAGGCTGGAGACCCAGGGGAAAAATGATGCTGCAGCTTGAGCCCCGGCGGCCTGTTGGAAGAATTCCCCTTTCCTTGGGGGAAGTCAGTCTTTTTTCTCTTAAGGTCTTCAGTTGATTGCATGAGGCCCACCCACATAATGGAGGGCAGTCTGCTTTACTCAGAGTCTACAGATTTAAATGTTAATCGTATCTAAAAAATGTCTTCACAGCAACATTCAGAAAGGTGTTTAACCAAATATTTTAGTATTATGGTCTAACCAAATTGACACATAAAAATAACCATCACAATATGCTAAGGGGCCCTGGACATCTCTAAAATGAGAACATAGTATGTATCACTTTCTCCCAATTTATATGAGTAAAGAATCCATCATCTGCACACTGTCTATTGATGTCTAGTAGAACACGGTTGGGGGAATACTGGCCTTAAATGATAATTCACTATTTTGACTTACTCCATTCATTTCTGGGTTGAAGTGATACTCAAAGGCTGGCCCAAAGCAAACCAACCACCAACCTATAAATTAAGTGCCCATATTTACATAAGAAGATTGAACCATTAGC